CTGTCTCTCTGTCTCTCTGTCTCTCTGTCTCTCTCTCTCTGGGATGTGAGAAAAAGGATGTAATGATGAACAATATCAGAATAAGTAAAAGAATAAACAATTTTAAGAGACCAAAGCATATCACAATATACACACACACACACATCTAAATGGGGACACTACACAGACTCCTATTGTTTTTTTTTTTAATCTACAGATAATTATATTGACGTTTGCCCCCTTATATGGACCTACTGCAAAGGGTTTAGCACATTCCGAAAATATTAAAGGATAAAAATATGGTTCCAAAAGCAGTGATTCCTTAGAAGAACTATTTTTTTTGTTGCCCAAAGAACCTTTCAGTGAACCGTTCTTCAAAGAACCATTTATATATTTTTTTAATTAGTATGGAAAACAATCTAAAGAACCTTTTTCCACTATTAAAGAACCTCCCAGCTTTCTATGGATATTAAAGTTTATTCATGGAAACATAGATGCCCATAAAGAACCTTTATTTCTAAAAGTGTATTATACTTTTTTTTTTAAATAATAATAAAAAAATATTTTTATACAATAAGGTCCACATATAATGTTAGTTAGGTCATATCATAGTATTTTATGACAATTTTTCCACCCCTTCTCTCTGATCCTTTGAAATAAAGTAGGCATCATTGATGTGTAAATGCGGGCTGTCGTGTGTTGATACACATGCAGTCCATACAGTTTTCCATTGTACACCAAGCTCCTTTATCTCAAAAGATCAAAGAAAATTAAATCCTCATGATGTCACCTTGAGTCACAGTAGCACATGCTTCAAATCATTTGAAATTGCCATAGCTCTGAGCCATACGACAATTTTTCCATCCCTTCTCTCTGATCCTTTGAAATAAAGTAGGCATCATTGATGTGTAAATGCGGGCTGTCATGTGTTGATACACATGCAGTCCATACAGTTTTCCATTGTACACCAAGCTCCTTTATCTCAAAAGATCAAAGAAAATTAAATCCCCATGATGTCACCTTGAGTCACAGTAGCACATGCTTCAAATCATTTGAAATTGCCATAGCTCTGAGCCATACTGCTGTCTAACTAATTAAATGATTGCATGAAAACAACTGTGTTTGGTAGGGCACTTTACTTAAACATGACTACAAGCATCTTTCCTGAATGTTTCCATGACTCTGATGAGCTTCAGTTTAAGTGTTGCATGACTAACACACTCTGCCAAGCCTTAACAAGTAACAGCAAAACACCAGAGCTGCTAACGGTGAGTGACCTGCTCCTTCAATATATTCATCTTGCAGTCAATAATAAAACAAATTGCTTAATTTACTCTTTAGTATGTTTCTTCATCAGAACAGATTTGGAGCAATGTAGCATTACATCACTTGCTCACCAGTGGATCCTCTGCAGTGAATGGGTGCCGTTAGAATGAGAGGCCAAACAGCTGATTAAAAAAAGTTGTCTTGCCTGAATCAGGAGAAAAATATGCACAAATCAAGCACTGTTTACAAGCAAAAACAGTCCAGAACAGTTCTAACCAAATATGTGTTAGGATTTTGTGAGAGGACAGCAGGGGATCAACTTTTTCACTGGAGGAAGCGTTATTATAGATTCTGGATTTATATATAGGCCATAAGCATTGGTTTAAAGTTGAAATGCTTTAGTGATGGATTTGTTTCTTACAAATATGCAACTTTTCAATTACAAGATTGATTAACTGATGGATTGGAGTCGTGTGGGCAGTGAATGGGTGCCGTCAGAATGAGAGTCCAAACAGCTGATAAAAGCATCACAATAGTCCACAAGTAATCCTCCAATGAAAAAGTCGTCTCATCTGAAAGAAGAGAGAAATATGCACAAATCAAGCACCATTTACAAGCAAAGAGTTCATAGTTGGACTGCTATTTTGGCCAGAAGCATCAGTTTAAAGTTAAAATGCCTTATTGATGGATTTGTTTTTTTTACACAAACACAGCTTTTCGCTTCACAAGACAAGTTGTGTGGATCACTTGTGTATTATTGTGATGTTTTTATCAGCTGTTTGGACTCTCATTCTGACGGCACCCATTCACTACAGATCCATTGGTGAACAAGTGATGTAATGCTACGTTTCTCCAAATCCGTTTTAAAACACGATTTATTTGCTTCTGTACATTTAAATTATAACACACATCTATAAAGGCCGTTTTCTTAAAAAAGAGAAAAGAAAATAATAAAGATTTTTTTTTCTCCTGCAATGAACCAGAAATGTCCACTTCAGCAGCACTTAAACCGGACATTACAGTTGTATTGCTGTCTATATTCTGAAAGTTTTTACGGATGGATTTGTTCATATATCATTCACTTGATTATATATTTAACATTTTATTCCTAAAAACATGGTGAACATTTTATTTATTTAGTTTTTTCTTGTTTTTGACAGTATTTTCTCATTTATTTATTTATATATATATATATATATATATATAAACATAGAATTTCAGAAAACTTGTTATACAAAAAACAATTGTCTTATGTAGTGTGATTAATGAACTGGTGAAAGTAAAGTGTAATGTGAAAGTAATTTTTTTTTTAACCTTATTTACCTGCAGTGTCTTTCTTTTTAATTTAGAGTTGCTAATGAGATAACGGTTTAATTTAGTCTGAGTACGGTTAATGTTTCTCTGGGGTTTTGCTACTGTGAATTCATTCATCTGTGTTTGTGTGTGTAGAGGGACTGTGTGTTCCTGGAGACTTTCAGGTGAATTGTTTGAGGCTGTGGCTTTATGATACTGAAAAATCTCATTTTTATTTTTCAGAGATGCTGAGTAAGCAGAAGTCGGAGCATGTGGGGGAAAAAATGCTCTCTATAATGAACCAAATGAGGACCTTCGAGGAGTGACTTTGTGCTTTTTCTTCTTTGATTTCGGCCTGTGAATACCTTCTTAAAGCAAAATGCCAAAGAACATAAGATTATCATTTTTTTACACTTAGGTACAACTATATACTATGGCCCTTTAAAACCTATTAAAAGCATATTAAAACACTGTGATGTTATAGTTTACATACAGTTCATTTAGTGTACGATTCGGAAACTCTTTTGCAAAGGAAAGGGAGGGAACTTCTTTCTTAGATTTGAATAAGGAACTCAGAAATTGGGATTTCTCATGACATGAAATAATCTTGTGCCTTTGTTGAGCGTCATGTGTTCTTGAGTCAGCCAATCAGCATTCAGTCTCACATTCTGCTCTTCTGAAATACCATCGCACGCTCTTGTGGACTCGCACAGCTATGACCATCACAGGCTGATGGAAAAGTGCTTGCACTGCAGACTCAGACATGTACATGATGAAATGTAGAAACCATGTGGATTTTTGTTGTTGTTGTTATTGTTTTTGGATGCTATGTTAAAAAATTAGGTGAATCTCATCAAATATAAAGAGGGACATTTCATACCAGAATCAGAAGAGAATGGCTAAGAAGTTATAATTTGCATAAAGAAAAATAAAGCCTATTTTTAGAACTATTATGATTTGTTTGCATTCTAAAACAGTAATATTTTACTATAATAAATGTGGTGATACATTTAATTATTGGTAATACAACAAATGCTACCACGTGTACATGCTTTTTTCTGCGCTATTGTAAAGAGAATATCATTTTGATTTTGCAGTGAAATGTGACTTTGATAGGGTTTTGTGAGATTCACCCTAATGGCTTTTGTAATATCAATAAAGAGCCGAATTTGATGATTGACCGTTGTGGCATTATTTCTTCTGATACACCATACTTAACACAAGGAAACGCCAAACAGAAATATGATTTTCAACTTAATTTCCTTCAATGAAATGGGCATGAATGAAAGTTTTGTCATTTACACATCTTCGTGTCGTACCAAACCTGTATGAGTTAAAAAAAAATTTATCTGCTAAACGCAAAAGAAGATATTTTGAATATTGTTGGTAACCAAACAGTTGCTGGTAGCCATAGTATTTTTAATACTACAGAAGTTAATGACTACCACCAACTGTTTGGTTACCAACCATCTTCAAAATATCTTAATTTGTGTAAAAAAAAAAAAAAAGTCACAGGTTTGGAACAAATTGAGGGTGAGTAAATGATAGAATTCTCATTTTTGGGTGAACTATCCCTTTAAGTACTTTTTGAACTGAACTGAACTGAAGCCTTTGTGTGAGTTTTCTTTATACCGTTGTGTTTGTGTTGTAGGGTACAGCAGGAGCAGCTGACTGCCATCTTCAAACTGCTCCGAGAGAATCAGGACACGTTTGGAGAGATGACCGAGGGAGAAGTGGAGGAACAGCTCAAACTTTACTCGCTTTAGTCTGACCACACACAGTTTCATATAGGATAGAACATGGGCTTTTCAACTGCGCTTGACCCGAGTTAATATCTGTAGCACTGTTTAAATTTACTATACTGTTATGCTTGGGGTCACAGGCACTCCAGCTCTTTATAAATAATGTAATTGTAAGATTGAGGGTTAAGCAGGATTTAATGCTTGTAATTTGGAAAGAGGTTCACGTTCAACCCTAAAATGTTAGTGTAAAAAGCTCAGCTTGATCTCCGCATGATCACTGTGTAAAACTCTTGTTGTATTATACACAGATACTGTAGTGTCCTCATGACCGTATCAGCTGAACTTTTTACTAATTTTCTAGTTTTTTTTTTAGTGCGTGATTGGGAAATATAAATAGTGTGCGTTAGTGTTCTTGCATTTCTTTTGGTGTTTATATGGATTAATGCTTCAGAATCTAATTCTAATCTACTATATAGAATTCAAATGGCATATTCAAAATAGTTTACTGCTGCATTTTCTATGTATCTGCGATTGTTATTACTCCTCTTGTTTGTTTCTATTTACTTGAAGAAAAAAAAAAATATTAAAACAGGAGTTGAATTTCCTGTTACATTTTCTTCCGTTTTTGAAACTGAGAGTCTCACTTACACCGAAACAGGCCCAGAAATAGACCAGGTTAAATGTGGAATCAGGGGCGGACTTACCCATTAGGCAAAGATAGTTTGCCTTGGGCCCCCAAAAGCCAAGGGCCCCCTAAAATGCTTTTCATATAGGATATGCGCATTAAGCGCTGACACGCAAATGGTTGCTGTTTACGGTGTTTATTACTACGACAACCATCCGAGACTCCCGAGTTGAACGTGCTTTTTGTGTACCCTGCTAGAGGGAGATGAAAATATTATGCATCTGAAGCTGTAATTAAATACTGAGAAACGGTGTGTATTGTAAGTTTATAATTGTTTTAAATGCCGCTTACTCATTTATGAGAAGGAACCAAGTAGAGGACACAGTTACTTTTTTGGTTGATATAATGTGTGTAAATGTATAATTGCCTTTTCATTATTTTTTCAGTTTTATTTAAATTTGTAGTTAAAATAACTCAAAATAAATGTATTTTAAAGTTTAGAATCAGACAGCCTTTGCACACAGGTAACTCATCAGTGGATTTTCCTCTCAATATAGGCTATATTTTTTTTACACTTTTCTCATTCTATATTTCTGACATTCCAAAAGCGCCTCCTACTGGCAGAGAATGAATGTTCATTTTCAATAATCCAGTCTGTAGTTTTTGTTCAGATCAATGCAAAAATCCACCCACATAACCCCGTTTTAAATTAATATCATAATTTATACTTCTGGCTCACCCCTGGTTTAAACGCTCAATTGTGAGGTTTATTATTTTATAATTTTTGATTTTGTGAAAACCTGAATCTCAACTGTAAATCAGTTGCTATTTCGTGGTCTACAACATGAAAGAAAACCATTATAACATGTACATGAAAAATGTAGAAACATTGGACACAACTATGGGGTGCAGCAGCAAGCATCACAACAAAAAAAGGAACCAAAAGGAAAATGTGTACAAATGTATAGGGCCCCATTCCTATATTTTGCCTGTGGCCCCCAATTCATTAAATCCGCCCCTGTGTGGAATAGATGGGACATTTCAGGAGGCGATTATTGTCTGCCTTTTGTTTAATACAGTGTTGTGAAATTGTTCAAAAACGATGTGCTAAACTTTTACAATGTAAAAGAAGATGTGGGAAAACATCGGTAGGCTAAATGCAGACAATGGATTTGTGTGTGTGTGTGTGTGTGTGTGTGTGTGTTTTTGTTTGTTTGTTTGTTTTTAAAAGAGAGAAGAGAAAACTGCATTTGGTAAAGAAAGGTTTCACATTCAAACGAGGCAGTGAGAACCAAAAACCTTAAATTTTAAAAGTCAGTGGTTCCAGAAAGGCATGCATTAAAAAATCCAAGACAAGTATTTCAACAAAGAAATGGAAAATGTTTCTGAAGTAATATATTGTTTCACACACGTGCACATCAGCTACAGTTTAAAGACGGCGAAAGCATTTGAACATTATTTTTGTGATTGGCTACATGTCATATTATAATGGCAACATTATTTTCCCGACAGATATAAGTAGAAAGTGAAGGAAAATGTAGGTTGATTAATTATTAATGAAAACACGCCCCACTTCTCGCGTCACTGTGTACCGCCCAAACTGTTAGCGGATGATTTAAACGTTTGTTGAGGGAACGCGACCCATTGTTACTATCACATAAAGCCGACTCGTCGTGCTACCGCTACCTGTAAATTACCAGCACTAACATGGCTGCCAAACTGTACGGTATGTATCATTTCTTCATAGACATTGTAGCTTACACTTCTGCCTCGGTCTGGAAAAAATATCGCAAGAATTGTGTTCTTGTCGTGCTAAACGGGGGTTTTCTGTTCGCAGTTGACGAGGCTCGAAACGGTGAAGAAAACACAACTCCTGGTAAGTTATTCACACATTTTCTCATGGCTTAACTCTCTTACTGTACGCGCGTTTTTTAAAACTTTTACCCCCATAGACCATCATCCCCTTAAGATGAAAAATGTTGACGCACATTAAAAAAAAAAAAAAGATAAAAGTAAAGTGTAATTTATAAGATTTCAAAAAGTATGCAAGGTTTTTAAATATTTCTGCTTAAAACTGTAGGCATGTTTATTGTGTTTATTACATGCACACAGTTTAACAGATTATTGTGCTGATACATACATCTAGAGACTATATCATCTGTGTATATACAGTGTTAAATAATGTTGTTAGTCTTTCCATCCTGTGAAGGAGCAGCCCAAGAAGCCACAAAAGTTTACATTGAATTAAATGCCAGAGACACTTTGTGTAACCAAAATACCAATATTAACCAGAACTTTATGCATATTGCAGGACACAATTTTTTAATAGCTTATTTTGAATTGTCAATGCTCTACTCTTTCTGGCTGGTCATTCAAACAGATAAGGGGGATAAAATATGCACTCTTACAACCATCTACATTATATTACAGTGTAAACACCATAAAGTAAACAATGTCATAATCGCTTGGCATAGATGTGCGGTATTCATTGATTGCAAACTGCTCTGAAACCACAAGCCCATGTTTTGACCGTGAAATGTTTAATTTTTTTAACTAAATAAACGCCTTTTATTAATAACATTTGAGTTATAGGGGCCCAAAGCGATGTCTGACCGACCTGCCCCCCTTTCGACTGATCTGTTCAAATGTTCTCATTACATGTTACAATGATCTTGTTGTGAAACAATGGTTATGTGGAAAGGATATATGCAAACTGAAATGAAAGCTTGAGATCTGGGGTTTTAAGAATGACTAGCAGTTGGGGTTTTGTACTAAGAATTTAAAAAAATGTAGTTTTCTTATGAAAATAGTGCCAAAGCGAGTAAAAACTGTAAGAGTCTTCAGGATTTCAGGCCTAAAACCACGTGGCTCTAAAACACAGATGAGCAATAGTCAAACGGGGGTGCTCTCTGACACCAGACACACACAGCATTGTTTTACGACACACAGGAGATTTCATGCTGTGCTAGAAAACGAGATGGGGGGTGTCTGGTAGAATCGGTGTGATGGCTCTTTGAACTCTACGACCCTTCACACCTGGAGATTTTATGCCCCATTCCTGGAATTTGTTTCACCTGGTGGGGGGACAAAACAAAGATTGGTAAAAAAAAGTCAAATGATGTTAGCCATTTTATTTCTTATTAAAGGGTTTCATTTATTAAAAACAACTCGGTTAATGTTGTTTTACTAGGGTGTTTAGAAGGATGCATCTATGGGCAAATGCATGTAGTATGTAAAAGTGAATACATCAAATGTATTTTTTTTTTCTTTATAAGAATATGGTAATGACTGGCTGAAATTAAAACTTCAGAAAGTTACAAAAAATCGCAGGTTCAGGTTGATTCTGTTGCAGGTTCAGGTTGCATTTTTAATAATGATCATGATTCAAATAAGAACAGTTCATTAGATAGTACCGTGTGAGGCAAAATGATCTGCTACACTCTTCACGATGCCATAGAAGAACCTTTTTGTCTAAATGGTTCCATAAAGAACCTTTAACATCTGAAGAGCCTTTCTGTTTCACAAAAGGTCCTTTGTGCCAAAAGAAGGTTCTTCAGATTATAAAAAGGTAAGAAAGAGATGGTTCTTTATTAAAGAACCTTTGACTGAATGGTTCGTTGTGGAACCAAAAATGGTTCTTCTATGGCATCGCTGTGAAGAACCTTTTGAAGCACCTTTATTTTTAAGAGTGTATCTGATGAAAAGCGCATAATTTTTCATCATACTGCTGATTTTAATGGCTTCAGGGTTTTTGTTAAAACTGTTTTGTATTCCAAATATTAGCTTGTCATACTACCATGACCTTTACTAAAAGAGCTGCCAACTTTAATGTTATATATCATTTGTTTGTATATATTTTAGACGTATTGATTTATAAAAGGAGTATGATTGTCATGATCTTCACAGGCAGATCAACGCCTGTGTTTGAAATCAGATTGGAATTCAATATTGCAGGAATTGTGTTCTTTTGGTTTTGTTTAACCCTCATATCAAATTGGGTCCATTTTGACCCAAAAGAGAGACATTAAAACTTCTAAAATCGGCATAGTTTTAGTAAGGGGACTAAACTTTTGCAAGTACTTTAAGACCCTCAGAATAGACATTAAATTTTTTTTAGGGACTTTTTTTTATTAACATGAATTTGTACGCCAATTGACGAACCATTGCAGCATGAAATATTTTCGCTTGTTTTCATCTGAAAGTGAATGTTTATGCAAGTAAAATGTTGTTTGAAAACTTTTCATATTTTTCATCTTTTCGTATTTATGTTGTTTTGATGTTTTGTTAGAAATAAAAACGTAGGTTTCATGAAATTTTGAGCAACCATGAGTTAGAATTTATAATTTAATTCAATTCCAATCATTCCATTGGGGTTAACACCGTGTCCTAACTACACGCGACAAGATTCGACAAGCAATTTGGGTGTCCACACCCAGGGGCGCCACTAAGGGGTGGGAAAGTTAGGACGATTCTAAGGGCCCACGCACTTTTGGGGCCCCCAGAGATCTGTTTTATTAGTAGTAACAGTGGTAATAGTAATGTAATAGAAATTATAAATGTATCTACCAAAGAGTTACAAATAAAACAAAATTAAGGCTTATTACTGCATTTCCAGCAAAATTATCTCCCCTCATTCACTGCATGGTTTCGTCCCATCCTACGTAGCCTAGAGTCACTGAGTGAGATCAGATGGTAAACTGTCAAATTTAGAGATGTCTTCAAGTTCAAGGGGGTGGCAAACCGAGCCGGACGATTTGGTCAGTTGGACTTTTAAACACATTTTAGTTTTGCTATAGAAAATCTACAAATTCACACTCTGATTACATAGAGCAGCAGCAGGAAGCACGTGAGGTTGTAATGGTAACTGGATACACTGCACGGGAATTACGGCTGCGCTTCTATTTTGCTACACTAAACTTAGCAATAAACACGTTGAAAATGCACAATAAACATGTCTGTCAAAACGAACTCAAAGGAGGCTTTTATTAAGCAAATCAATGAGTGAATTACTCATCCACTGTTTAAAAAAATACTTTAGCTGGGTTTCCACAGGCAGGGTCACAGTTATCTACAGTGTATGAAGCTAAAGGTTTTTGGGTTAAGGTTCATAATGTAGAACATTTTTAACATTGTATGCTGTATGTGCATAGGTAGCTAGCAAACAAGGAATACAGCTGTTAAGCTAATAGTCACATTTAGCTGAGGAAGGTCATGATTGAGAAATGTTGGATACTGCTGGAAATGCGGGGTATCCTATTTATTATTTTAGGATATTTTTGTTTGCCCCAGTGAAGCAATTCTATAACTGATCAAGTAGTCAATCTCATTCCATATCAGCAGAATAGTGTGGTACAGAAAGTCTATGTCCATAAAACAGGTTCTGAATGAATTTTTTGGAAGTGTCTAAAATGATTGTACGCATATGTACAAGTCATTGGTGTTTGGTGATTAGTTTTTTTGTTTTTGTTTTATTGAGTTTTCCCAATACTTTGGGCAATATAGTGTATGTTTGGTGCGGTAGGAGGCCCAACCTCATATTCTTTCATAGGGCCCAAAATTGCTAGCGGCGCCCCTGTCCACACCAGACGCGACGCGACAGAATCAAAAGCGTGTGTGGGCAGGCACTCTCTGGAAGCGCACTGCTCTCGCAATACATCACAGCCAATCAGAAGCGTGTGTGGGCGGGCTCTCTGTGGAAGCGTACTGCTCATGCAGCGAAATGGATACGTTTATAATCTAATTCATAAATATTAAACCTTTTTAACATCATTAAATGTACATACTGAGTGACTGATAAAATCTTTGTCATGGAATACACTCGGTTCGCAGTGAGTTCACCGTTTTAACGGACATATTTGCTTTAATTTATTTTCAAGATCTGAGGTAAACTACCTGTTGTTGCTTTCAGTATGGCTATAAGGTCACGCAAAATGATATTTAAACTCATATTAGACACGTTTAACTTTGAATAAGGCACATAATCACCTGAAATTATATGTAGTTTGTATGTTGTTGTTCCAGCCACGACGTCGCGGAAATAGAAACCGTTTCTAAGTTAGAAATTTCGCATGTCGCCGTCGCTTGGCTAGTCAGGACAAAAACTCTGATTAAAGCCCCGTTCACACTAGGGGCTGGCGATGAGGTTGCTAGTGGGCGTTCTCAATACTGGTTGCCTTGACAGCGAATCAGGTTTCTTGCTGCTAAGTATAAACATTTTGGAGGCAAAAGACTAACTATAATCTAAATCTAAATTAAATCCGTACATACAAACAAAAATGAATGAGAAATAGAGCCTACTTTCTTCCATTGCGTATGTTTATCTACGGCGCTGAGAGGAGAACGATCACGTGAGCTCTACCGTCTTCTTTCCTATTGGCTGTCGCTCCCGAAAGTCGCTCTTCATTTGCATAAAGTTGAAGGATTCTGAACTTTGTCACGTCACTGGACTGGACTGTCGCGTCATTGGCGACCCATCCGGTTGCCAACGGCCGCTGTCGCTCGTGTCGCCGGAAATCGCCAGCTCTCCATTGAAATGAATGGGATTGTGTCACTTTGCTGTTGCATGTCGCTTGTAGTGTGAACGGGGCTTAACATGGAAAAGATTTTGTCGTGTGTCGCGACGTCACGTCGCGTGTAGTTAGGACACGGTGTAATACTAGTAATTCTCAGATTATATGTTCTTATAAATTTCAGTAACAGTTCATTTTAAGGTGTCCTTGTTACATGTACTTTTATAATAAAAATTAATTATGCATAATTACATGCAAGTAACCCTAAGCCAAACCCTAAACATAGGCCTATAGTAAGCCTACATGTAGTTAATTAATATTACGCGGTACTTAAATGTAATTACACTGTGACAAGAACACCTTAAAATAAAGTGTAACTGAAATTTCAAATAAGATCTCAAATTTTTTAATTAATCAAAAAGGGGTAATTGCAGTAGCCTAGTAATAAGGTAACATTCAAAACTTCAAGATGTTTCACATTCACTCATCAGTGAAAGTTGCTGATCAGATACAATATGGTTTTAGTTGAAAAAATTAGGTTTATGACTGTTTTGTAAAACAACGACCCAAAATGTGAAAATCGTGTAGGCCTACAGATTTTGAAAGTGTTATGAGGGTCAAGCTGTTTTAGTAGGCTACACAATATGCTAAACAAGAGGCTTTTTCTGTTTTCAGTTGACAAGGCTCGTCTTCTAACAAATGGCGAAGAGAATACAACTCAAGGTCAGCTTGTTACACCATCAGGTGCCTCATCGTCATGCGCACCTGATAAAACAGCAGCCCCAGATAACTTCATAACGGAGGTATCGGTACCTTTGAGTGCCAGTAACAGTGGGTCTGAGCCTTGTGACCGAGGTGTAGCAGAGACCCAGACAACAACAACCCAGAGTCTTGAGCACAAGTCTGACGAATGCAACACATCCACCTTGAGATGTGGGGAAAAGCGGGCGAGGGAATCAGAAGACCGCTCTGATGTTCCTGTGAAACGGCGTTTGAGAACATCGGAAGATAGCAGGAAAGAATGTATGTAATAATCATCCGTAATGATTGTGTATTTAAATGATTGCATGCTGCTAATACAAATTAATCTTCCATTTCACAGTTCTACCAGACTACGACGCGAGATGTGCCGAGCTGTGGATCAATGGTGAAATGGCTGCTTGTGAGGCTTATGAGTTATCAAAGTCCAGCCGCAACACCCAACGCCAACGTGCTGTTCGACAACCCGGCAATAGTAGTTCTGTGAATCAGCCTCTCACCCAGAGTGACTTTTTACGTCTCATCCGAATTGAAGTGGCAGCTGGTTATCAATCCATCGCAAAGATGCTTCGTTTGAGTATGGAGCAGAGCAGAGCTGATTTCGCAGAGGTGATAAATAGACTTGATGCAATGCAAAGGGATACCAGAGAGTTGGCTAATGAAGTCCGTAAAATGCGAGCGGATGGAAGACTAGCATTAGATGCAATCTCTCTTATGAATGAAAAAATGAGCGTCATTCAAAGGTTTGCGTTGGACTTGCATCGAGCGCTGACTACTAGAAAATGAGGGGTCTGTTTATTATAGCATACTGATTTGCATTCAAGCCTACTTTTGCTAAACAGCTTTTCCTTTTTTGATATACTTGTATTGATGAGTGATTTTTTTTTATGTTGTGCATGCCTGTTTATTGTATCACTTTCCTGTGTTATTTTAGTAGTTTTTAAATAAATAGTTTCAAAATGGCCCCTAAAAGATGTCGCAGGGATTTATGCTTTATTCCTGATCTTGTGTTGTACTGACATTTCTAAAACTTAAACCATAAATGGTGCATTAAATATAGTAAGCCTAGATGGTCACACATTTGACCTTCCATGTTTATTAATTATTAGTCAAATATAACATTATTTCGTAAATGACAATATTTCTAACTTTTTCAAATGTATGTAGTAAGAGACAGAGTACATAATTCTGTATTTTTAGCTAAGCAGAATCATGCATATTTCTTTTCTGGTGTCAGCAATGCCCTGTGATGGGGCAGAAGTCCAAACATATTTAAGTCCATTTCTGATGAAACACCAAATTTAACATTTAATGAACAGGACTTTTTGTTAACTGTTTAACAAACAAACCATTTTACGTATCGTGAGTAGCAGTATTGCATATTGAACCGAATCGTGACATGACTATTGTTGCACCCTTTTATAATTTCCAAACCTTCTTTCTGTCATTAATTATAATAATCCAGGGAAATTTTTGTATGCATAAGGAGTCTGACAAAAGAATGATCTGATTGATTAATTAATCGCCATTAATCCCCCACTTGATTAATCGCAGTACATTTAGACAATTTTGTATTTCAAGTTTTCGGAAATATGCTTCTTAAATATGCAAATTACACATTATCTAATTAAATATAAACAAATTTGCATACATTTCCAGAACAGAAATCTGGACATTACATAAAGCCAAGTTTAAAATTCTTCTTTCATTTTATTGACATACAGGGTGGAGTTTGTAGGCCTATATCCCTTTTTATCACTCCATAAATCAAAGTGCTGTCAACACTGTGAACTTCCAATAAAATAAGCCTGTGTTCAAAGAGCTCAGATGGGTTCACAGCAGCACAACGTTTCAAACCTGCCTGTTTCTTATCGCTACTGTTTAGCACACTCCAGAAGTATGTGTAGTATGTACTGTAATAATAGAATCACGTCATCAAAACCGTGGAATGTCATTGTTTGGTGTTGCATTAAGATTTGTTTTCACTGCAGTTACTGGAATAGCCAAAACCATAAATCAGAAGGGCGTATTTGTCATACTTTTTGGCATATAGTGTTTTTTAAGTGATTTTCTGAGTTTTTCTATATTTTTCTTTATGCCTTTGTTTATAGAACATGGCTTGCCTACATTTTAAAATAAATTACAATATTTAATTTATGTTACACGTTGTTGCCTTTCTTTGATTATGTTGCAGGGCATTCCAAATGAGCGATTATTGTCAGAAAAGTCCACTTCAACGGATATCCCGTGTTTAGGGAGCAGTGAACACTATAGGGACCCTGTCAATCGAAACACACCTGAGGAGACGGCACATTAAAAACAACAAACTACCGGAGAACGCAACAACTACAGACACCAATTACGATATACTTATATTATCATAGTCATGTAGGCCTAAGTTGTATTAAATTTATTATAAACTGTGGCAGTTTCTCGTTTGTATAGTGTGTAGTTTTTCACCCGTGTTTAGACTACTGTTTTTAAAACAAATATAGTTTACCTTAACCATAATCATAGTTACATTTAAGCACAATAGTGCGGAGCCATGCATGGTTTTACGTGTGGTTCTCAACCTCAGAATCAGTGTTGGGGAAAGTTCATTTTAAAAGTAATGCATTACAATATTGCGTTACTCCAAGTAAAAGTAACTAATTGCGTTACTTAGATGAGCCATGCATGGTTTTACGTGTGGTTCTCAACCTCAGAATCAGTGTTGGGGAAAGTTCATTTAAAAGTAATGCATTACAATATTGCGTTACTCCAAGTAAAAGTAACTAATTGCGTTTTTACAGAAAGTAGTGCCTTATGCAAAACTTTTGCGTTACTTTTTGTCACCTGGGCTGTGCTTGCTTATTTGTCTTTTAATAACAAAAACCCCCAAATGATATTTTTGACCACTGTAAAGGCCTTTAACACCAAAAGTGAAATTAATAAGCCTCAGGCTGAAGCCTCTGCACCTCACTCCTGATTTGTCTCAACACAGAGAGAGGAGAGGTGCCAGTGAATAAATGGGAAAACAAAGCAACTTGCGTTACTTATTTGAAAAAGTAATTCAGATATTTTGTTGTAAATTTACAAGTAATGGGTTACTTTACTAGTTACTTGAAAAAGTAATCTGATTACCTAACTCGTGTTACATAATACGTTACCCCAACACTGGTCAGAATACGTTGATTTAAGCCTATAAAATTATACCTTTTTATAGTTACTGTTGTTAATATCAATTCATTGTACTGCTCAATATGCATTTCAATTTAATTTCTCATTTTATAGGCCCCCACCCCCTTGGTTCACCTCAAATTTTCAATTCAGTAATCCGGCCCTCAAATGAAGCTAACTGAATAGCCCTGGTCTACAGGCTTTCATAGACAAGTTTAGGAAGTTGTGGGAGGTTTTGTTACCAACCGTTCTGTACCCTGGCAATAAAAAAGTGCTTGTTACATGAAAACCCTCACGAAAAAGAAGTTTATTCAAGTGTGCTATTAGTATACTCCTTTTAAACTAAAAATAGGAAAGTATACTTTTAGTCTACTTTTTATGTACTTCTCAGAAATGGGCTTTATGTACTTCTCAGAAATATACTTAAAATGACATTTAAGTATACTTGACTTATAGCCTACTTAAAGAAAAAGTCTAAATATATCTGAGCTATGCTTGTGTTCCTAGAATCTGTGTTTTCATACTACTAGTACACTGATATTTGTATACTTGCTACATAAAGTATACTTAAAAATAAACTTGAACTTTACTTAAGTATACTTAATAAAATAAACTTGAAGTATACTACTTTTTGGTAAGGGAATTCTTACATATGACAGCACAACCATGATGCTAATAATAATGATCATTGTTTATAGGGTAAATGGGGCAATAATCCAAGGGTTTGAGGATGATGTTGGGACAAAGACGTCTTTCTACGGCTTCACCACCAACTCTCTCAAGAACTCATTAATTGGTTATTACCAAGACGGCTTCGACAAGTGCCACGTGATCCGGTAATTGACCCTCTCATTCACAATTTAGGAATTATTATAAGTTCTCAGTTGTCATTTGTTGCCATCTGCTGGCCTACAGTGAAGTCTTTGGCGTCACAGGGCACTGGGTATATTTGTATCCCTGCCGAAACTGGAGACTATGTGATGCTGGCAGCTGCCATCCAGAGTGTGTCTGTACCCTCGGGACCTGATAAAGGTGACAGGTAGGTTTAACAATAAGATTCCTACACGTTGATATTTACTTCACATAACAGGTTACGATAAATTCTTATTATTATTGTAATCATTTCCTCCTTGTCAGTTCATGAATTTTTAATTGGCCAGGTTTCCTAAAGCAATTAACATTGACCAAAAGTGACTACTGATTATTACTTAATATATTGAGCTAACCATATATACTAATAATAAATGTGTATATAACACATAGCCTACTACATCCAGTAATATCAGAACATATAGGCCATTCATTGTTGTGTAAAATATGTGAGAAATGATCATACTTATAATACAAGCTCACGCTCCAAAGTGATTAAAAATATAGAAATAACATAATCACTATGCTGAATTCACTGTCGATGTTGAAAATAAAGGCAATGATTGGCCAAATTCACTCTGTATAATTGGGAGCCACACACTTCAATTCAAATATTAATGATTTATGTTTATGGAAAATTGGCTATATAAGTTTTTATGATCATTTGTTTATATGTAAATAATATTGAACAATGAAATGTGTTATGAATTTCTTTACATTTTATTCAATTTTTATTTTGCTTCCTTAAATGTAGCAATATTTTTGCTACTTGAATTCATTTGGAATTCTAAAAGGCATTCTACCAGTTTGTGTTTTATTTTAAGTTTTTATGTCAATATTAGCTTATGTCCTTTGCATACTAACTAACTGCTGAGTTTATTTGATTATTAAAACAGGCCCTCAGAACTTTTTGGATATAATACTGAAACACATGAGTTCAAGATGATCCATCCATTCAATATGTGGCTCAAAGGTGAGAACAATTTCCTACACATTAGACTACATATACTTTTGTCACATTTTTTCCTTCTCTCTTAATGTAATGCCATGGTATTATTGATTAACAGGTTCCTGAAATCTCCACAGCTGGAGCAATATAGAGATTTGTACATGCCCAGCACGGGTGCACTGATGCTTTTGATTGCTTTACACTTGTGACCAGGTCAACAAACCTCCAATGTTTTTTATCAATAAAACAGCATTTGACATTCTTATTTATAAAAGCTTTTTATTTATTGTTAGAATGGCCCTGAAACCTACTGGTCCAGGTTTTGTCAAATTAATGTTGTGCTTGCTGGCTCTTCCCTCAGGTCTCTGCATATGGCTTTATCACAGAAAATTACAAAGACTTCTCAGACCATTACTATGACAAGGTGATGAAGCCGCTGGTCTTCTATGCTAACCATGACATGGAGATGGAGGGACATCTGTGGAAGCAGTTGCACTCTCAAAAAGTCTTGTGGCTAAATCAGAGACAAAAAAGGACATGATGTAACTTCAGTGAATCTTGGGACATCTGGAAAAAACAAGTAACAAGACTGCATAATGAAATTGCCAAAGCAGTATTTTGTTTTGGTGCGCCCTTATTCTCCTGCAAACTTTATAGGCGAGATCATTGAGAATTATTTTTAATAAGCTAAATAAATTATTTAACTCAAAGTGTTATTTGGAGAATTTACAATCTGATTTCCCATCACATTACAGCACAGAGACCATGCTTCTATTCAACTAAATAATGAGTAAGGTAAAATATCAGTGCTGATTTGACTGATATTTAGTGCTGTACTCTCAATCACAATATACTCTTAGACAAACTGGAAAACTGGGTTTGTCTCTTTTGGCCATATCTAGAAGGCAAGGAATTCTGTGTGAACACAGGTGACTTTAAATGGACCGCAATGACATGGTGTCCCCCAAGGTTCAATCCTCCTATTCAGTCTGTATATACATCCATTAAGCTAAATAATGTGGAACAACCTAGCTCTATCTGCAAGGGCAGCAGATCAGATATGAATACATTTAGAATTTATTTTAAAGTGCTGTCGTTAAAACCTTAATACACTGAAATGTTAATGGGATAAAATACTTCCTAACTCAGTAGAGCTGAGACAGCTAGATATTGTCATGTTTATGTTCTGTTTTGGTTCTGTTTCTGTGTTCACGGTTTCTTGATTTCCTTTGTTAATCTGTTTCTGCATTTTTATCACATAATAAGGCAGAATAGTTTCTGTACATATATATATATATATATATATATATATATACACACACACACGTTTTTTAAATTGATGTCCCTGTTACACTTACTGTTGTCACATTTCCCTAGTTAAACAATACATAAAAAAGGCCAAATACAAGTATATTTTATATTTTTACACTATGTAATATTCTGTTTATGAAAACCAATAAATCTCATCAAGTTAATGTTTTTACGTATTTTTACATTTATTCCAAAATAATAACAAACGGCAGTAACATATTTTATTTAACTGATGTTCAGCTGTTCTTTTTAACTTTACCAGCGGGTGTCGCTGTTGGACAGAGTTACTTTCTAAAAACTAGTAACTTTTACACTTTTTAATGTCACATTTTGTAATACTTGCGTTGTTGGCACATTTTGCTGCAACTTGTGTGGCAGTTCAATTAAGTATATAATTTTTGTAATAACTACAAAAATGAGAATGGGCAAATGTGGGATCACAGAGAAATTAAATGTTTTTTTTTTAATTGCAATTTTAATAACCACGGTTTTACTACAAATAGCATGCTTAAACTATGCTGAGTGTAGCAAAATGTTTTAACAGTAATAACCTTTTTATTTGTTACAAAACCATGTGTAATTTTCGTAAGTTTTGTTGCAAACAATTTTTACTGTTATTTTATAATGAAAAACAGCAGTAATATATTTATAATATTTATAGAAAGCATTAATTGTTAGAAAAGATCATTTATGTCATGTACTGTAAATGCTCTACAAGTTGAGGCATTAATTGTAACATTAGTATATACACCAAATATTTTGACCATACTTTCTTCTTTCACAGCAGGAAAACATTTTTTAAGAGACACCAGGACTGCAGCTGTCTGGTTTGGCAACAGAAATTGAAATTGATTTTTTTTTATTTTTTTTTTTTATAAATAATTGATGATGCATACTACATACCAACAAGCAGATGAGCACCAAATTAAATCCCTACACAAAGCTGCTTGGGCAGAAAGTTCTCCAGCCGAGATGTTCACTTTTGTATTTGGAGAAAAAAAAAAAGATTATGAGGTGTTCTGCACAGAAATGGTTGATAAAACAAAGTACAACATCTTTGCCAGATTTGAGGACGAATGAGTCATCCTTCAGGATGATAAATAAAAAAATCAATCAATGATGAAAAGTAATAAAAAAATCAATAAAAACTTAGGTGTCTCAATCAAAATGGTCTGATGATTATATATACACACACACATACATACATACATACATACATACATATGGTCACACTTTAGTTTTGGGTCCAATTCTCACTATTAACTAACTATTGACTTTTGCCTCAATAGACTGTTAATAATTACTGTTCAGGTATTGGGTAAGAATATATGGTCACGCATAATAAGGCATTAGTATGTGCTTTATGAGTAGCCTACTAATAAACAGCTAATATAGTAATATGCAAACAACTAGTTAATAACTAAAGTTTTACATTAAATAAATAGGCTAAATAAATGTTTGTGTGTGTGTGTGTGCGCGCGTGTGTGCGTATATACAGTAGGCTAGGCTATTGGCTAGCGGCAGCTGGCACTCCTTATGTGTGTGTGTGTGTTCTTTATGGGAAAATCCTTATGCAATTTAGCTTATTAGGGTTCATATTCTGGTCGCATCTGCTTTTTTATAAAAATAAAATAAAACAGTGTAGTTTACAGCAGAAATGGCGACATACGATCGTGACTCCTGGCACGAACTCTGGCAACTGATACATACAAACGTATAATAATACAAAATAATACAATTGTGGGAACTTTGCATCATCATTAAAAAAAAAAAAAAAAACACCACCGCACGCCACTGAGAACAGTGTAGTTTTTACCGAGCAAACATTCCGGTATTAATGTTGATTGGTGTTTATCTCGTGTGTTTCTCCTGCCTGTTCCTTCATGTGGATTTATTTTCAAAAGACACCAGTGTTGGAGAAAGTTACTTTTAAAAGTAATGCATTACAATATTGCGTTACTCCATA